ATTAACCATGTTTCTTTTAACGTGTATTTAGAATGTTGTTAGTATCTTTATGTATTAATATCCATTGTTTAAATATTATAAAGTACGTTTTTTGGGGTGAAAAAGGGTAACTTTCGTGCTATCGGAACGAATTAAGCCTTTAACGTGTATTTCCTATACTCGCTTAAAGACCAAATCACTTAACGACCGGTTTCGTGGAACCAATTACTGTCGTTGAGAGGGGTTCTGCTGAATCGTACTCTACTTTGCTCCCATGTATATGCCCCCACCTACTTCACTACGCTGCGCTGACCAGCGTGGTGAAATTCGGTCAAATAGCCCCCCGTGACCCGCACAGCATCGGGAAGCTCTCATCCAGCAATGGATTACTAAATGAGAAGAAAATTACATTGCGCTAATGATCGCTGTTGCCTTGCTTCTCTACTGCTGGCCAACACTTTTTGAATCTGAGCTTGTAGCTGGATCAGGCTGCTGTGTGCTTGCGTGAGCGTTACATTGATCGGAGCTTGCAAAGGATTGTGGGTGTGTCCCAAGATTCCGTTTTCCTTAGTACACCTTAGGGTAAACTAATTGGCGATGAACAGCTGCACACCGAGATCATCTGCTGAATGATGAAAATTACAGTTATGGGATGGAGGGGATCCATGGTCTAGAGTTTGATAACAACAAAACATGGTCATTGCAAGTAGCCAACCGAATTAAAAACCCCACTTTGTATGCAAGGATCATAAACCATCACGCAAACTGCGGTTATCCTCGCAGCAGCGGCTTTTGGCTAGCCATCGAACAAAGATGTTTACCGCATCGCGCACTTTCAGATGCACTTCTGTGGCTGTCTGGAACGCTCTTTCTTCCGATATTCGGAAGCCACTTGGAGCTATGCACTTTTAAATCATCTCGATTTAAAAAAAAAATGTCTTTAGGATAGCACGGTTGGCTACGTACAATGCGGTATAAGTTCAACATACATACACGCATCGTGCATCTTGATGTTGTTTACCATTAAGTGTGAGCATCACAACACTACAAGCACAGGCACAATAATCTGCAACATGATTACTTAGCACCTTCAGAAGCATGTGCTCCACAGGGCCTTTTCAATCAGATTGCAAAAAATCCCAACTGCAAATTGAATCCATCTTAGATGCTGATCTCAAAAACTGGAAATGCAGTATTATGTAGAAGAATATATTTAAGTAAAAATAATAATACATGTATATGTGGCTCTAGATGTAAGTTTACATCACCCAAACTTCCCCCCAAAAAACATGGGACTTAATCGGAGTGTGTAAGCAAGAGGGAAATACCTCAATGTGAGATACATCACAAACTTGTACCAGGTGCCAACAAAGTTACACAAATCTGGTCACATACACACACGCCGACCGAATTCTAACTTTTGCTTTAAAATACAGGGGAAATCGGTGTGTCGTATAATCCGGCAAACAAATCGTACAGTACTTATAATTCCCTTAATCAAGATGCATTTTTTTACGTGGCTTTAAAAAAAGATGTCCTGTGGAATAATCTTGATATCTCTGAAGCATTTATGGTTCCCGACGTCTCTTTCTTTCCATCGTCCTTCTGCTCCCTGGCTCCTCCAGACAAGTGGTTACGATCCCAGAAGAGCCGCACGATAATTCTCAGCAACATTCATACGACCCTGGCAGCCAATACATTGCTTGCCTTTCAAAAAACAACACTGCTAATAATGCTTCTGAGAATGTTTTTTTGTGTCTGTGTGCACATAAACTAAGGCTGATTTCTCGATTTAACCATTTGCATGTTGGTGATAGGCCCGTACAGTACACGCAAAAACATGTTTTTTCTTACATTAAAAATAAATATCGCTAACCACATTTGTCATTTACACTGCCGCATGTCAAAATATATAAGTATGCTGATGTTTCAGGCAATTACCCTTCTCTGGAGTAGAGCAAACGCAAGTGTGTATTTAATTTCAAATTACAATTGCGTTCTAACAGTCGTTTCGTGATGCAGTCATGTCGAGTTAACAGCCAGTAAACAGCCCTGGAAGATGACACCGCCAGAACAACTTCTGAAGTTAGTTATTTCAACATGTATTGTCTAAGTTAACCGGGCAGTGCCCTATGTGGCATGCACGTCAGTTCACATAATGGTAATGAGCCCATATAGTGGTACACAATGTTTACATTTTATCCTTCAGTGTTGGGCTCCGCTAAAAACGGAATGAGCCCATCGTTATTCTGTCCCTTTTTAAAGGCCAATTTAATCCCCTAAATTCTGAGATAATGGCTCAGTGCCCTGGCACAGGCATCATCCCTCTACGAGCCGTCCCAACAATCTGCGCAGCAGACGCACAAGGAGACAGCGTTATTAACCGTGATGCTAGCAGCACAGCGAGACGCATGGAATAGTAAAATTGTCTGCGATTGTCTCGGCAAGGTGCTTGTCTCGCGGTTCAGAAGCGATGAAACACAACCTACCACGTATGAACGAAATTCAAAATAGCCTTCAAACAGGAGGAGGCAGCTAAACTTGACAGGGCACGGTGAGAACGAACGCCGGGCATCTATAACATCAGCATGGCACGGTGAGTGAATGCAACAATCAACATTCACCTCCACATTGTGTGTGTGTGTGCATCCATCCGTGTGTGTATGTACGCCTCCACGTTAGTCCTCCATTCATGCCGCCCGTGTCCACGTTGACAGCTTAACGGCTGTGATAGATTCAGTTTTGTGAGAACACAGCGGCGCTATCGATGCGCGTGATTGTTGAGGCACGAACCAAGCAATTTTTGAACATCAACAACGTGTTGCAGCCTTCACACTTCATAGTGAGATAATAAACAAACGAAAAACCCACCGTGCAATATGTCGCTTTCAAAAATAAATCACGCTATGAAAAAGGTCCCTTGCTCGAAACGTCACCGCCTTTTTAATGCCAGTGTTATTGACCAAATGTGTTCATTTTGTCATCGTCAATCGTGCAACCCCTGCCAACGGAGCGGCAGCAGCAGCAGCATCATCGCCACACCACGTGTGCGGTGCATATGGGGGGGGGGGAGTTTAAGGAGACGCCGATTAAGCCTACAAACCTTTTCGTTTGGACACGCGCACGATGTCCCAACGGACCAACAACGCTGACTGACCCGAGCCACGTGTCCGCTGAGCTGTCACTCTGGGCCGAACACACACAGTGGTGCGTGCGTGCTGGCGTTCAGCACGTGTGGCAGTGAGTCTGAAGCACATTGTGGTACTGGAAGTACATGCAGCAGTACGTCTTGGCATGCCCATTTCCTGTGTGTGTGTAAGGTGTGTGTGTTTATATATAAGGTGTGTGTGTGTATATAAGGTGTGTGTGTGTAAGGTGTTTGTGTGTGTATAAGTTGTATGTGTGTAAGGTGTATGTGTGTGTCTAAGGTGTTTGTGTGTGTGTAAGGTGTGTGTATAAGGTGTATGTGTATAAGGTGTTTGTGTGTGTGTGTGTAAGGTGTGTGTGTAAGGTGTTATTAAGGTGTGTGTGTGTGTGTAAGGTGTTTGTGTGTGTGTGTAAGGTGTGTGTATAAGGTGTGTGTAAGGTGTTTGTGTGTGTGTATTAGGTGTATGTGTGTATAAGGTGTGTATACGGTGTGTGTGTATAAGGTGTGTGTGTATATATAAGGTGTGTGTGTACGGTTTATGTGTGTATAAGGTGTGTGTGTGTGTGTAAAGTATGTGTATAGCTCTCCGATGTGTCTTTAAGGAACGTCAGCTCCCTGAAGTAGCTCCCAACACGTGGAGCGAAACGTCGGACAGCATGCCGAACAACACGCGTCATTAACGCGATAACGCACGGGAATCGCCACAATAGCATCAACCCGCGAGAACACAAGCAGCAATTTATACATCTATCTGCATATGTACACATAACAGATACGTTACAAAGCCGCGTGTGTTAGGAGAGTGCATTCAAGGTATGTACTGTACAACTATTCATAGCACTGTGCGCTCCCAATGCTGCGTGTATAAAAGTACCGTCATCACGCGCGTGTGCCGCTGTATGCACGAATCTGTGGGAAATACTCTCAGAATTCAAGTCTTGTTATTATCAAGGCAGGCCTCCTTGCTTTGTATTCACGCCGCCTGTTCAACCGAAGCCACTGCTGAACGTCGAGGCTCGGAGTTGAGACACGCACGATGGTCAATAACGCAGAGTGCACAGTGGGGGGGTGTGTGTGTGTGTGGTGTGTGCATCACACACGCAGAGGAGGGAATTCTGAGCAACTTGTCAATATGAACGGATTCGAATGTTCACCGAACGTCGCACGCGGGCAAGGGACAATCGCAGGAATCCCGAGACTTCACTTTCTCGTGCGCGCACTGCCTGTGGCACCCTAACGAACACACACACACGTGTGTGGTGGTACGCGTACCACACGTGTTGCAGCAACACGTGTGGCACGCGTACCACTACACGTGTTGTAGCCATCCACCAACACACACACACACGGAGTGCGTGCGCTTTAACTCAGCCGGTAGCTGTCCGGGGCTGAGCTCCGGAAAAGCTCCCCACCGGAAAATATTTCATGCGAAATGAATCCGTGCGCAATAAAACACGTTGCGTGCCTGTCCGTGTGCATGCACAATCAAAGCATCTGTACACGCTACTGGCGAAGCGTCGTTCTCACATTGTACATGTTGTGGATTCGCTCTCCAACACACAACCGGTGGTGTGCTGTGCCAGGAACGAATTGGCCACGTTCTGTTTACGTGACAACCTTTACTAATTGTCTGTGTCGGGTGGTGGCGGGTTTAACGACGCACATATTTTTACGCGATCTCACCCGAAAACACACAAACCGCTCTTGTGGATGACATTGGTCGCGAAATCCAGCTAACGTGTCAAGCATGTGCGCATCATGATAACCTCCCAGCTGACCGTGCGTGCGGCACACACGTGTTCGCCGCAGTCGCGCAAAGCATGTTTGCCCACGTGTTAGGGGGGGGGGGGGTGGGGAGGTGTTCAGTACTCACTCGCTTTGCCGGCCTTATACTTGTAGATTATCTTCTGCACCGCGGCCACGTCTCCGCTCTTGGCTGCCTGGATGAACTCTTGGTCTTTTCCCATTGCGGCCGGTACGGGTTGTGCGTGCGCGCACCGTGTACTTTAAAAGATACAATTTCTCCAATTAATTGGTAGTAGGCTGGTGGGGTGGAAGGGGGTGTGGCCGGCTCTTTACTAACCACGTAGATGTCCACGCTGCCTCGGTTCTTCCTGAGGTCGCCAACAGCTCAGCAAAGTGGAACGATCACGGAATGCCGACGTTCACCATCCCTCCTCGCCTTCACACGAGACGCACGCGGCATCATCGTCTTCGTCTCCGCTGTGATTTTCAAGTCCCTCTACGCGCACGTCTTCTCTCACACCGCGTCGTACCGCGTGCCTCTTTAAACGTAGGCAGATTTATCATGTACGTTGTCGCAGCACGGTTTAAGGGGGTTGTTGTTCTTGCTGTTGTTGTTGTTCTTGTTGTTGTATATACTGCCTGGGGCTACAAACCCACAACACGCAAAGCGGTTGCCGCTAAAGCGACCGGGGCTTTAAGCCGCTTGCTTGCTTGCTCCCCCAACCGATTCCGATTTCAATTCTTCTTGCCGCTTGTCTTCCCGTGGCGCTTGTGTTGCTGGCTTCTGTGTGTGTCTGTGTGTGATTCTACAGTAGTACAACTCTCGCTACCACCACGAATCCCACGGAAAAAAGCCACTGCCGCTTCTGCTTTCTTCGTGTTTATCTCTCCCCCCGCCCGCCCACACCTCCGTAGGCACGGCGAGCTTTTGACAGACAAGCGGACTGCCCGCCTGTGCGAGCGTGTGTGTGTGTGAGAGTGTGTGTGAGAGTGAGTGTGTGAGCGAGTGAGAGGAGCGAGTGTGTGAGCGAGTGCGTGAGAGAGTGTGAGAGGAGCGAGTGTGTGAGCGAGTGAGTGTGTGAAAGAGTGTGAGAGGAGCGAGCGTGAGTGTGAGAGAGTGTGAGAAGAGCGAGCGTGAGTGTGAGAGGAGCGAGTGTGCTCGTTGTGCTTGGAGGGAGGGGGGAGGCGGCAGGAGACGACACGAAAGCCCAGAGAGCAAAGTGAGCGTCCAATGAGTGCACAGGGGAGGGGGAGTCACGGTGCGCCTCTGTGATGTGCGTCTGAAACGCACGTGCGTGTGTGTGTGTGATGCAGCGTGTGTGTGTGTGTGATGGCGCGTGTGTGCGTGTGTGTGTGTGATGGAGCGTGTGTGTGTGCGTGATGGAGCGTGCGTGTGTGTGTGATGGAGCGTGTGTGTGTGTGATGGAGCGTGCGTGTGTGTGTGTGATGGAGCGTGCGTGTGTGTGTGATGGAGCGTGTGTGTGTGTGATGGAGCGTGTGTGTGGGTGTGTGTGATGGAGCGTGTGTGTGTGTGATGGAGCGTGTGTGTGTGATGGAGCGTGCGTGTGTGTGTGATGGAGCGTGCGTGTGTGATGAGGCGTGTGTGTGTGTGTGATGGAGCGTGTGTGTGTGTGTGTGATGGAGCGTGTGTGTGTGTGATGGAGCGTGCGTGTGTGTGTGATGGCGCGTGTGTGTGTGATGGAGCGTGTGTGTGTGATGGAGCGTGTGTGTGTGTGATGGAGCGTGTGTGTGTGTGTGATGGAGCGTGTGTGTGTGATGGAGCGTGCGTGTGTGATGGAGCGTGTGTGTGTGTGATGGAGCGTGTGTGTGTGTGTGTGTGATGGAGCGTGTGTGTGTGTGATGGAGCGTGTGTGATGGAGCGTGCGTGTGATGGAGCGTGTGTGTGCGTGTGTGATGGAGCGTGTGTGTGTGTATGATGGAGCGTGCGTGTGCGTGTGATGGAGCGTGTGTGTGATGGAGCGTGTGTGTGATGGAGCGTGTGTGTGTGATGGAGCGTGCGTGTGTGTGTGATGGAGCGTGTGTGTGATGGAGCGTGCGTGTGTGTGTGTGATGGAGTGTGTGTGTGTGTGTGATGGAGCGTGTGTGTGTGTGATGGAGCGTGTGTGTGTGTGTGTGATGGAGCGTGTGTGTGATGGAGCGTGCGTGTGTGTATGATGGAGCGTGCGTGTGTGTGTGATGGAGCGTGTGTGTGATGGAGCGTGCGTGTGTGTGTGATGGAGTGTGTGTGTGTGTGATGGAGCGTGTGTGTGTGATGGAGCGTGTGTGTGTGTGATGGAGCGTGTGTGTGTGATGGAGCGTGTGTGATGGAGCGTGCGTGCGTGTGATGGAGCGTGTGTGTGCGTGTGTGATGGAGCGTGTGTGTGTATGATGGAGCGTGCGTGTGTGTGTGATGGGGCGTGTGTGTGATGGAGCGTGCGTGTGTGTATGATGGAGTGTGTGTGTGTGTTGGAGTGTGTGTGTGTGTGATGGAGCGTGTGTGTGTGTGATGGAGCGTGTGTGTGTGATGGAAAGTGTGTGTGATGTAGCGTGTGTGTGTGTGATGGAGCGTGCGCTACGAACCCGGCGATCCAGGTTCGATTCCCGCTCACGGCCAACTACCGGTGACGAATTATCTGAACCGGTCCTGCGACTCCCCTAGGTCGACTCAACCTCAACATGAGTACCTGGTGCGATGTTTAGACATCGCCACTGGGGAGACAAAGGCGGACGTGCGTGGTGCTGGCCACCCACCCCCTCGTGTGCCGTGCCAGCCTTCTCGCTTAACAGCACTTGCCCCTAGTATTTTACAGGCTACACGGGGGATCTTTGTCTTTATGTGCGCGCGCATGTGTTAAATCACTGCACGATCAGTGTGTGTAGTGTGTGTGTTCAATCACTGCAAGATAAGTGTAATAATGTGTGTGTTCCGTGTTCGATATATGTGTTAAATCACTGCATGGTCAGCGTGTGTGCAATGTGTGTGTTAAATCACTGCATGATCAGTGTGTGCTGTGGTGTGCGTGTTCAGTGTGCGATACGTGTGTATTAAATCACTGCATGATCAGTGTGTGTGATGTGTGTTTAAACGTGGGTGGAAGCGCATGTGTGTGTGATGCCTTTAAACGTGTGCGTGAGCGCGTGTGTGTCTTCGGCTCAGCCGTAATGAGAAACCTGGTTTTGGTGTAAACATCAGAACTGGTGATACAAACGCGGCCGGGCGTGGTTCTGGCCACCCACCACCTCGTGCACAGTCCCGGCCTTCGTGGGGTGCTCGCTAACAGCACTTGCTCCAAACAGTCTGTGTAGGCCACACGGGGGATCTTTGTCAAGCACTGCACGATCAGTGTGTGTGTGTGAGCGATGCGTATGTGTTCAAGCGTAGGCGGGTGTGCGGTCTGTGTGTGTGTCCGATGTCGGGAACGGTGGTGCAGCGGTTAGCGCGCTGCCCTACGAACCCGGCAACCCGAGTTCAATCCCCCCCCCCCCCACCCCGTGACGATTATCTGAATCGGTCCTGGGCCTCCCCTAGGTCGACTCAGCCTCAAATAAGTACCTGGTGCGATGTGTAAACATCACCACTGGGGAGACAAAGGCGGTAGGGCGAGGTTCTGGCCACCCACCCCTTGTGTACCGTTCCGGCCTTCATAGATGCTCGCTGACTGCACTTGCCCCAACAGTCTGTTCAGGCTAAACGGGGTATCTTTGTCTTTTGTGTATGTCTCCAATGACTGCACAATAGGTTCGCTGAAGATCCGGTGCTCGCTAACACGACTTGACCTCGACAATATGACCACTGTGTTAAAACGGCGAGATGTGTGTGTGTGAGAGCGTACGGATGGGATGTGCGTACACACATGATGAATGCACAAATCAAAGGGGAGAAGGGTGGGGGTGGATTGCATTGCGTGTTCAATGTCCCCCACAGCATTGCACTCCTGCTCGATTTAAACAGCGAAGCCGTGTAAGTGTATATGGAGGTAGTGGCCGTGAATGCACGTACAATTAATGCACAAATTAAGGAGGAGCGCGTGTGTGTTTGTGTGTGCGTGTGTGCGTGGTGGGGAGCGGTAGTGTAGTAGCGGTTAGCGACTACACTACCGCCACCCGGGTTCGATTCCCGCTCACGGCCAACACCAGTGACGATTATCTGAACCGGTCCTGGGTCTCCCCTAGGTCCACTCAGCCTCAAATGAGTACCTGGTGAGATGTGTAAACATCGCCACTGGGGAGACAAAGGCGGCCGGGCGTGGTATTGGCCACCCACCCCGTCGTGTGCCGTGCCGGCCTTTATAGGTGCTCGCTAACAACACTTGCCCCTACAGTCTGTTAAGGCTATATGGGGGATCTTTGTGTGGTGGGGTCGTGCAGCCGTTAACGGGCCGAGCTAACGAATCGGCTACCCGAGTTCGATTCCCGCTCACGGCCAAGGGGCGGTCCATAAATGACGTCACGCAATTTTTGACGATTTTTGACCCCCTCCTCGTCACACGACGTCACAAAAAGTCAGGACCCCCCTCAAATATGACGTCACAAAGCTCTGCCCCCCTCCCCCCCCAAAAAATCCTTCAAATCGCTTTGAACTATTGTCATTGTAGTGCGTATTTAATGTGGCGCTGCACTCTGATGTTGTAGGAGAAAATATTTATTAAAAAGTCTATTTAATTAAGGAGAACGTGCTGTCTATATTTATTTAAAGTTGCGCATTTTGATGTGACGTCACATTTCTCGAACCCCCCCTCCCTCGTCACATATCGTCACAAATGTCTGACCTCCCCCCCACCCGCTTAGGTGCGTGACGTCATTTATGGACGGCCCCCAACACCAGTGACGATTATCTGACGCGGTCCTGAGCCTCACCGAAGTCGAATCAGCTCCAAATGAGTATCTGGTGCGGTGTGTAAACATCGCCACTGGGGAGACAAAGGCGGTCGGGCGTGGCGCTGGCCTTAATCGGTGCACGCTAACAGAACTTGCCCCGGAAGAATCCATAAAGGCTATAAAGGGGATCTATATGTCTTTGTTCAGTGAATGCATGGGAGTGTGTGGTGTATGTGTTTTAACGTGTGTGTTTATGTGTTCAGCGAATGCACGTGTGTGCTTGTGGGAGTTTGTGTGTGTGTGTTATCACGTGTATGCGAGTGTGTACACGTGATTGTGATGTGTGTGTGTGTTATCACGTGTATGCGAGTGTGTACACGTGATTGTGATGTGAGATGTGTGTGTTATCACGTGTATGCGAGTGTGTACACGTGATTGTGATGTGTGTGTGTTATCACGTGTATGCGAGTGTTAACACGAGATTGTGATGTGTGTGTTATCACGTGTATGCGAGTGTGTACACGAGATTGTGATGTGTGTGTGTTATCACGTGTATACGAGTGTGTACACGTGATTGTGATGTGTGTGTGTGTTGTCACGTGTATGCGAGTGTGTACACGAGATTGTGATGTGTGTGTTATCACGTGTATGCGAGTGTGTACACGAGATTGTGATGTGTGTGTGTTATCACGTGTATGCGAGTGTGTACTCTAAGCCCCGCTCCTACAACACCTGGCAAGCCCTTGTGGTCACCCACCCGAGTGTCTTTATGCATGCGCGTGTGTGAGTCACGTGGCAGCTATACATTTTCGCGTGAGCGATTAAATTAAACGCACACAAAAAAGGAACACCATGGGCAGATACGTGTTAAAACGTGGTTGTGGTATTGCGTTGAGGTGTGCGAAGGGGCCTCCATAAATGACGTCACGCGATTTTGGATGATGTTTGACCCCCCCTCGTCATACGGCGTCACAAAAAGTCAGACCCCCACCTCAAAAATGACGTCACAAAGCCCTGCCCCCCCCCCCAAAAAAATATATAAAACATGCTTCAAATCGCTTTAAACTATTGTCATTGTAGTGCGTATTTAATGTGGCGCTGCACTCTGATGTTGTAGGAGAAACGTTTATTAAAAAAAAGTCTATTTAACTAAATAGAACGTGTTCTCTATATTTATTTAAAGTTGCGCATTTTGATGTGACGTCACATTTCTCAACCCCCCCCCCCCCCCCCCCATCGTCACGAACCTGTCC